TTCTGTCCCTGTGTCCTTCTCGCACAGTTCAGGAGACAGCTCCGGAGTGTGCACTGAACCTTCGCTCATACTTTGAGAAGAGGAAACTTTTTTCTCTACACATTTTCCGAGCTCTTCATTTCGAGCAAACAATTCCTTGAGTGCCCGCAGATACACATCCCGCTCCTTAGAGAGTTCACTGGCCCGAATCTCCGCCCGACACTGTGACTCCAACGCACCAAGGCTTCCCCGCTCCGCCCGTTCTAACCGCGCCTCGTAGGCGTAAAGCACGGCATCCTTTTCACTCATTATCTTTTCCCGACGCAAAAGTTCTGCCGTCAGCAGTGTGACTCTGTCAAGCAACGGGGCACCCGTGTCTTCCGCCTTGCTGAGTTCGCACAACTTCTGCTGGAGCTCCTCAAGGCTCTTGTCTCGAAGCCTCACCTCGTGAAGAAGTTGAGTGTTGCTTCTTGCCAAGCCATCCAGTTTGGTACGCCACTCGCTCTTTACGACCCACAGAGCTTCTTTTTTGGCCTTTTCTCTAATCTCTTCCACTTCAGCAGCTTTTACTTGAAGTTCCTTTCGTAGCAGTTCAGCCTCCGCATTCGAGCTCTGGACCGCTCGATGCATTTCCTCCAGAGCATCCAGGTGGTTCTCGCGCTCTTTTAGCAACACCCTCACCTGTCGCTCCAACGCCCTCGTCTTTTTTTCCATTTCCCCGAGGCCCTTGGATTGCTCACGCGCATGCTCGCTCTCAAGGTTAAAGCGCACACTCGAGCGTGGGCTCCCATGGGGTGCCGCAACATCCATGGTCCCCTTCCCACCGAAGTCCTACTCAATTCCTCAAAAAATAAAATAAAATAAAATACACTTAAAATGGTTTCAAAAAGCGACCGGCCAAAGACTCGATGGCGCCAAAAGAAGCAAGTGGTTCCGCAAAAAAAAAAAAAAAAAAAAAAAAAAGAAAAAAAAGAAAAAAGAAAAACAGACAATCCTCCCCTCCCCCAAAATAATAATAATAATAATAATAATCAAAGAATCCTAATGCCGCGTCAAATTGATATGTACTCCATGTCCGGTCGAATGGTTGTCACCCCAACACAATGAACCCCCTGGTCTGATGGCTGCGTAAGAATGGCACGTCCAGCTACACCCACAGCATTTGCTGCCTGAATCATTGCCTCAGCAACACTCTCAGCAATGCGCTCGCCTCTCGGCTGAGTCAAGGGGTCGCCGTGTCGGCCACCTACAAGTGCACACACTGAGGGTCCAGCACCTGAAAGAAAGGCGTAGTGGGCACCAGCAGCCATGGCGGCATCGACACAAGGACGAAAATGAGGGAAAAGGGCATCAGCCCGTTGCTTTTGGTGCAGTTTGTCATCACAAGATTTGAGCAAGCGAAGATCCCCGGTACAGAGCGCCAGTACAAGAATGGAGGAACGGGAAATATTAAAAACGGTATCTTCGAGCGAAACACTGCTTGGAATTAGATTACGAGTTGCGTGCGTATTTAACTTCATTTTATTCTTCGGGACAAATAAAACAACCAAAAGAGACGCGGGTGTGGGAACTCGATAAGTTAAAAACCGGCCATTATTGTCTTTGTAACCCAGTTGAATACCCCCATAAATTGCGGGGGCTGCATTGTCAGGATGGCCTTCAAATCTGGCAATCACCTGCAGAAGAGCTTCTTCCTCTTCGGTTTTCATTGTGAGGCCGCAGAGTTTCATCCCGGCAACAAATCCTGCCACAGCAGCGGCAGAAGAAGAGCCACACCCACACCCAAAAGGAATATTGCTCTTCATGATGAACTTCAGTGGGGGCATCTCCTTCTTTGCAAACTCAGTAAAGGCAAGTTCGCACGCCTTCACCATCAGATTTTCGCGGTCGGCGCTTATGTGCTCACTTCCATCGCCTTCGAGATGCACCGAGAATTCATCGGCGTGCTCCACCGTCACCTCCATGAAGATGGAGAGAGCCATGCCAAGAACATCGTACGCTGGGCCCAAATTCGCCGTCGTTGCAGGGACGCGAAGAACAACTTTCTTTGGAGGATCCGACATTACCCCTGTTGCTGGTGATCCCAATTTTACTTCTCCTATGCCTTTCAAATGCAGTTGGTATATTCGCACTGTCGTAAAGAAAGTACAAAAAAGTAAAAAAAAAAAAAAAAAAAAAAAAAAAAACAAAGTTGTGTAGGAGCGCAGTTATGTCGACAAAAATACACCAAAAATTTAATAATAATAATAATAATAATAATAATTTTGTTATTATTTCTTTTGCTCATAGACCATGCGAATGAAAAATTACACACAGATACACACGCAGGACACACACACACACACACACACACACAGAAAAGAAAAAAACTTTTAGGACAGACATCTGCGTGATCAGAGACGCATAAACAGAGAGATAGATGCAGGCACACACATGCAGCAATAGAAATATGTTCGGCACCTGTGTTTGTGTGTGTGTATAGAGAGAGAAAGAATAAAAGTAAAAAGGAAACCCAATAAAAAAAAAAAAAAAAAGGAAGGGGAAAAGCCTTTCCCTTTTTTCCCCCCTCTCATTATTCCTCTCCCTATTTTGTCTGTCAACAGTTAGAAGTGGTATTGCGGCGTTATTTATTTTTATTTTTATTTTTTCCCATCTTAAAAGGTTAATGAAAAATTATTGACGTGGCAAAGTAAAAAAAAACCCGCAGGTGTTCTCCGCGGCTTTTTTATTTATTATTGCTGCTCGTTGACACTTTCTTTTTTTTTTTTTTTTTTCCTTGTGTGTGTGTATGCATGCATGCATGTGCCTGTTTTCACTATATATTTTATATATATTTAGTTTTCCACACATTTCCTTTTTGTTGTTGTTCCGTCGCCTGTTCTTTTTTTTTCTTTTCTTTTTTAAAAATTTCTTCCTTTTTTTTTTTTTATGAATTTAAATAATCCTGAAATAAATTTTTTAGTGCCCTATCCATTCTTTTTTTTTTTGTTTCCTCCCGGCTGGTTAAAAGGGGCCTTCACCCTTCGTTGAAATGTTGATCCTTTTTTTTATTCTTTTTTTTTTAAATTATTTCTTTTTTTTTTTCTTTTTTTTTAGGTGGGGGGCGGGGCGGG